GTCGCTGTAAAAATGATAAAACCCGTCAAACATGTCATGGCACACTCCTGAGGCCGCTTTTTTCTACAATTCTTCCATATAAAATGGCTTACCACTTCGTCACAAAAAATTTTTTAATAAATTAGTCAGCAGCTATTATCAGATTTAGTTGAATTTCACTCTGGCTCGATCGACGACAAAAAGGATTAAAAAAAACGAAAGCAAAGTAACCTGTCGAGCCCAAGTAACTTTTGGAGGCGGATTTCCCGAGGCCGAGCATTTGATGACCACATTTTCGCCAACATTCACCAGCAATGGATTTGTATCCGGTGATATTGAAACTGTTGGATGCACTAGAATTTTTTTTTTTTTCAACACAAAAATTATTCTGCATCAACAGTCTTTTTTCAGTACTTTGGAAATAGTTTCTGGCAAACGTGACGCTTTGAGAATTAGCGCCGCTGTCACGCAGACGGTCATGGTTCCATTCCACCACTCCAGAACCAAGCGTATCTAGGACATGAGTTAAAATTTCAGCTTCCCAGCTTTTCTGATTGCTGATTTAACAAATTCTCTTGCCAAAATTTTTACCTGCTCGTACATGAGAACCACGTAACTTGAAGACTGATTTTGAAATCTTCAAGTTGCATGCGGACAGGGAACAGCCTTCTAAGATTTCATCTTTCCTAGTTTTCTGATTCCCGAATTAGCAACTTTCCCGCCAAAGTTTTTATGTGCTCGCACGTAGGACTCAGATGTTAATGAAGGTTGATACCACGTCCTTATCGTAGCGCTTGACAGGAAACCCACTAGCAAAATTTCAGCATTGAAGCTTGCTTGGTTGCCGAGTTGAATACTTAGACAGACATACACACACACACACAGACACACACACACACACAAACACACATCGCGGGCCATCACTATATGTGTTTTGGCACGTTACACGCAGGCAAAAATGCATAAAAATAAATGGAAATGAAACAGAAGAATATGCTGCTAAGTACCATTTACTTCCAATGTGTGCGTGATTGACATTTCAGGTGACGTTATTTCGCACACATATTTGGCCCCATCATATGGTTCCACTCGTTCGATAATTAATGTAAAATTCTGGAATAACCATAAAGTAGTCCCGGCAAACATATCGCTTTACTAAACTTTATTGGTTACCATGTATGTATTTCTTCAACGGTCTACTTCATTCTTGCAAAAAAACCATCATGCTGAACTCGAGTCTGCGTGTCCGTAAATGGTTTTAATAACGAAATAAGTTTTTTTACCGTAAAGATTTCAATAACTTAAAGAATTTTTCATAATTTGCTGTGTCAGTGTGAATTGTAATTCATTTACCGGGCCCATACAGCTGCGCGCAAGTATTTTCGCTAGGGAAGGAAAAAGAAGGCTGTCCTTTTTTGCTCTGATAGAAGAAACTCTGCGGGAAGGAAAAAAAAAATACAGAAAGCTTAATCGAACATTACATAATTCAGCAGGAA